TGACTTTTTTGTATAAAGTGCTTTTGAAAGCGACATAGTGTGTGGGAAAATGTGTTGCCCAACAGACGTCACTGTCTTACCGACATCCTACGTTTTCCTTGCTAAACTTTGCCAATTAGCCAACTGATTTCCGGAAAAGAACAGTACGAATAGATCGACGAGCAACGGTTCAATAGGATGATGCACTGGTTCAATACATGCAGATACCCCAAAATCGGGTTCCCTCGGCCGGAAAGCCGAAATCTCTATTTTCACGACATGAAGGTCATAGTTCAACCAGCAGACAAGACTGCAAACGAATTCTGCTTCTTAGGGGAGAAATCCAAGATTAAGGAGCGCATTCTGGCAATCACGAGCTATACATGCGTAGAAGGAAGTCTGACTCTATCTATCGAAGTGCAGTAGATAAAGGTACAGGCGAAAACGGGACGTGAACTGAAGGGGGCGCATTTACCTTGAAGCGGAGGATCCCTGGACCCTTCACAACGATAGGGTTGAGACTGACGTCTGCATTTGGTTTCACCTTATTCCCGTGTTCCACAGACAAGCTATTAACAACTGAAGCGACACCGCCGTGAAATATCTGGAAAAGTTTCGTGTGGAAATTTTCCACACAGAACCCGTGTTTAGGTGTCGGAAATGACACAACGGATCTCCTCGCATAGGGGACAGTGGCCCGTCCCCTTATCCCTGTAATATATCTGCTGTAGACCAGAGTTCCGCCGTGTATTTCTGGAAGCAATTGATGGTCGACAGATGCAGGGGTCCCGAATCTGGTTGTCAGACCGAACGAAACTCCAGACCCAGTTGAAGCTGCCGAGAAGATAAGGTACGGTTCCTCGCTCTCGCGTTGCCTGTCGACTGGCGCGGATGGCTCGTGGATGCTTTCTTGTAGCACCGAATATGTTGTGATGGCTGGAGCAGGAGGTGTACTAAAGGGGAGTGCTGAGGACGTCGCTCAAAAGAAGAGAGGGGCAGTGTAATGCTTTGTTTATGCGACTATCTGACGTTTGGCGGTCACTTTAGAACTTGTCTGGGCTAGGTACACGTGGGCTGGCCTTCGGGTCACGCTCAGGTCCCATTTCTGCTATTGCTTTCGGAATACATGTATTCAACCCCACTTATGCCTTCTACCACCCCATTGGAAGCCTCGGGACGCTATAATCTGCAACAACCCTCACATTTTGTCCGAGGTTCAAGGACAAGAGGGTAGGGGGCAGCTCTTACAGTTAGGTTTGTAAAACAGCTGTTTCGGATGCTGCATAATTAATAATAAGCCTTGATCAAGGAAAAAAATTTCTTTTGATTTTCGAAACCATTCAGAAGAGGCATGGTTGACAAGTTCCTATATATTTGTGTATAGTCCATTTTACAAAAGCCGATTATAAAATTAATTCTATGCTACCTATTTTAGAATCGGTGATCCATGCCTGTTTGTAAGGCGAAAAAATCCTTCTGCACTTTGCATGCATTTCGGTTTTGAACAGGAATTTTCGCTTAGCAAATATTTTAGGCGGTTATTATTGACTATTTTATTTGTTGTGTTTGCTTTCATACTTTTGGTAATGGTAATTCTTTATAACTTCGTTTTACTCCCTAAATTGTTCTTAGGGTAACCCATTTATGGATAACGGGTGCGTATTTGAAATCGGGATTTTGTTCTTGTATAGGTTGGTGTTGGTTAAGCTTTTGATCTCACCTTGGTTCTGTGATAGTCACCTTTAAAACCACTTCTTTTACTGTTGTTATGACTCGTGGTCTTTTTCTGATGTTCATTACCGTCATCTGTGTTGCTTTTTCGCCATAATTCTTGGTTGCAATATGCTTTTTGGGAAGCGCTTTTCTCGTAAATCCCGGCTAATCACCACAGAAGGTGGTAATCGACTGCATAAGGTCGAAGCTGATGCTGAAGGAGTCCTAATACCACTCTCTCCAAGGATGAATGTCAACACACAAAGTGCCTCTGATCCTATTGTTTCTAATGTTTCTCTCCAACACTCCTTTGTCTCTAGCCCTTTGTCATCTCCCGTCGAATTTGGCAATGCTTTTGAATTCTCACCGGAAAGTGGCATTGTCGATCCTAAATTGCCGAAGCAGAGGAGTAAAAAGGCTTTAGCTCCTACTGATGTTGTGTCGATTTCTGACGATGACATCCCTGCACAGTACCAATCCATTTTTACGTATGAAAGCGCATTTCATGATTGTATGTTACATACGAGCAATAGGAGTCTTAAAACTATCAAACGCTAACGATTTGTTTACCTGGTTTTAGACTCCAAATCATTGACTGATTTTGATGAAGAATCTAAGGTTACACTTGGCAGTGGTGTCTACTTGCTCCTCGTTTCACTATCTGCCTTTCTCTTTCTCTTTGCTTTTCCTGTAACTGCTATTTTCTGCATTAAGGTAAACCATGTGTGTTCTCGTCCATTAGTTTACATGGAAGTGATGTAAATGCATCATTGATAAATGTCGAATTTATTGCAGGCCTTAAATTGCCAACATTCTGAGTTTGATAAAATTCTAGCTTAATGTCTTTTGAATTGAATAATTATGCAAGTGCGCATTTATCGTCTTTCGTATGGTTGTTTTGCTCTTGCTAATTTAGAGGCTGTCGAAGACCAAAAGGGTGGTTGTATTTAGGCTTGGCCGACGACTGAAGCCTCGTGGTCCAGGTGATTCTTACGATTATTTTTTGTCCTTTTAAAGGGATTTCTGTTCAAGATCTGTGCAGTAAAGGCAAACTAAGGTAGGAAGATATTTTCAAAACACTAAATTTAAGGGGTAGTTATCGCGAGTGACATAAATTAAGGTACAACCTGTTAAACCCCTTTTTTATAGGTGGTTACTGATATTGACTCATTTCGCTTATGTTTTTAACCATTTTTATCTTGTGTCCATCTAGTTTAGCCTCTGCATATATTTTTTAAATGTCACCCAGTATTTCGTCTCTCCATAGCCGATAATGGAAGGGCACTACATATGCACGGGCAACTGGTGATAATTGTATGATTATGACAGATAGGATTCGAATTTTTATTTCTATGTGTAATTTCTTGACTGCGATCTTGCTCAAAGTATCCATTAAAATAGTTACAATGAAGTTATTCTGGCACAGTCCATTATTTCTTATTCGTCTTTTTCGCCTACGTGATTACACCTGAAGAGCATAATTTGGGATAGATTTTATTTGGGTGTTATTTTAGGATATGTTTTGATCCTTCCATTTGTGGATGAATATCATGTCGTTGATCTTGCTGAGCAAGCACTTGAAGTCAAACCGATGTCTGTAAGTATTGCTATTGATAAATATGAAAGTTGGCTTAAAACAAGTAACCAACCCTCCTCTGGCCTTAATGATGTTGTTATTTCCATAATTTGATGTGCTATTCGGTAGGATCTCGGCCATACGTAAGCTTCATGCTAGCTTCAATTCAAAACTAGCTCATTTTTTGCTCAAATCGAGATGGAACCTTTGCTTACTTAAAAGCATTCGTAGCTCATCCATGCTGATGCTCAAGAATAAAAATAAAGTAAACACCATGTTGAAATGCTGGGCTATTCTAGATCTCTCAGTAGAGGTTACCGCTGTTTTGTTGAGATCCTATGTAAACGTTTAGATTTTATGTTTACTTTTATCCATTTATGGTCCAAAGTGAGTATGAATGATCGAGCTTAAAAGTAGAAATGAATGCAACATTTGTTTAGAGGGTGTACACAAATTACCGATGAGATCCGACCACTCTCTTCTTTATAGGCTTCAACGGCCGATGGTGGTGAGGTAGAACTTGGCTGTTGTTTGGTCTATCATATCATTGAGGTTGAATTAGCGGTTACGCACTGGATACGCGATCCCCGTCACTTTGTTCTGGAGAAAGCCCAATCGGCACTTCCAGCGGCCACTCGTCGAATGGATTGGCATGACATCATCTCCGGCCATGCTTTATCCGACATTGCCTGCGATGTTCGCGTACCTCATTTGTGATAGTTTTGACTCTTATTCTTACCACTACTATCTATGGAAACATGTTTTGCATTTGAATTGTTAAGTCCCAGTCTTTCCGAAACTTTCACCTTGAAGTACGCATCAATCTCAGTTAGCAATCAATTCCTCGAATTTTCTAACAGGTGCACTTATTTTTATAGGCATCTGTTAACTCCTGCTGCTCGTCCTATGGGATCCAAATCTTAGAGGTGAAGTTGTAAGTTTGTATCCAATGTCGTTACTTTTAAGACTTCTAACTTTCCCTTTTGGTAAACGGTTTTTATCGCCTCCTTAAAAATAGATCTGAAGTAGTGTCGGTGCGGGAGCCTTCAATCACCTCCGACAAGGTTCACAACATTGATTTCCAAAAGCTTGGGAAGCAAATTGCGAGTCTTTCCCCACTGTTACTTGGCGGAGAGGGTGTCAGAGACAATCAGAAGGCTTCGATGGAGTTTACCGCAATGATCAGTCAAATAGCATCGATAAAAATACCACAAGTTGCAAATCCTCCCCCACCACCAACACCACCACCAATGTCGACAAGTAGCGTGGCGAATGAAACGAGTTCAGGGAAAGTCTGTGATGTGGTTGAGCAGGCTCTCTTGAGGGGACAGGTTTTCCTACGCAACGAAAGGACCCGAGCAGCACTTGGAGGCGCAAGTCTCCAAGTATTCGTCTACACTTCGAATATCCAACAAGAAAGTGACTATGCTGCCGCATTCTATATGGACTCAGGTACAGGTAAGCTTCAACAATTCGCATTCCTTTTCCCACTTCTGCAATACTTTGCACCGGTGGCTACAGAAATAGGCCTTTTACTTTTGATTGAATTATTCCAGTACTGTGCCAGTGGTTGTTCTCTAGGCAAAGGTGAACGTGGCATCTTGGACTTCAAACAACCTTCTGCTACAGTACACATAAACGAAACTAACCTCTCTAATACGCTTAATGGGCGCTTGGATCTCCTAGAGGCCCTGAAACGGTCTCAAATCCGTTTCGCAGGAAGCCTCCTAGCTCTCTCAAAACTACGCTTTCTCCTTCAATTTCAGTAGGCTATGGTCTACCTATAACTTCCACCTCCAGCCTGTCTACCTGTCCGACTTTCATCTGCCACTCGGATGACTCAATGTTGGTTCTCTTTACTTGTCTATTTAAACTCTCAAATGAATGTGCTCAGTCCTCATGACCTTCCAGCTGGGCCCATCGGCCTTTGCGTAGGCGTCGTTGAATCTCTTGTTGCCTCCACCAAGATGGCACATCACGATATGAAGGGAGTTCGGGGCTAACCAAAGGATATGGTGATTGAGAGCGTGGTTGCTCTGGATCCAGAGGGTTGCCCTCAATGGCAAGACGTAGTTGCACTAACTCCTCATCCATTTCGCGTTTATCACGGTAGCGGTCTAGGTAGCAATCAAAAGAGACGTCTTCGTGCACACCTAGGCGGTTGTTTGCCAGAGGCAGACCGCAGGGATGGCGACGAGCATGGAACCAGGAGTTGACCACAGGAAAGCGTGCCTGCGGTGGTGGCATCTCCGCGGCAAACTGAATCTCAAAGATTGGCTCCTTAGTTTCTAAACAAAAAAATAATAATACAGTTAAGATGAGCAATCCGACCGCAGTAAATTCTATTCGCATCAGGAAGCCTACTGCCGCAGGTGATAGGCGGGAACAACACTAAATGTAACAACCCATCAGTTTAGGCCATTTTCCATTCACGTTAAGGTCGAAATTATGGGAAGAGAAAAATAACGTCTGATTGCAGAAAGTGCCATAAAAAGATTAAGTCAAGCAATGGTGAGACTATTTCCCTGGCACAGGTGGTAAGTATGCAAGTTATGCTTTCAAGATAAAATGGTTTAAAGTAAGCAACACATAGTGCAGTGAGTCAAGGAAATGGAGAAGTTGTCAGGCTTTGTTAAGCAGACAATGAAATCACCCACCGGGCAAGTGTTCACGGAAGTAAGTTCGAACATGCTTGTCCCAGGAGGACTGGAAAAAAGCCAATCCAGATGGTGTTAGTGTGTCTTGATAGAGGCGATAGAAATTTGCTGTGCTGAAAATGCGTTCCTCATGATAATTTCTAAGAAAAAGAGCGGCGTCCAAGACTTCCACGTAGAATCAAGAAGAGCACAGAGTTAGAACTTACCTCCGTACAGGGCCACGCAACTCCTCAGACAGATCAATTGGACCATTATCTTGTCGATACAGAACGAAGACGTATCGATGAAACCCAGAGCCCAGATAAGGTAGCGGTGGTAAATAATCAACAATCAGATCGCCAGTCCTGGGAAGTTTGTCTTGAGATACGTCCGGATCTATGTTGACACTTATGAACCAAGTATGCACAAATTAGGCCATAAAACATAAATGAGTGTTAATAAAAACATCACCACATACATCATCCAATGGATGTATTCAGAAAGTTGAGTATTACTTTCATCCAAAAAGGGCTCGTCAGGAGAAGTCATAATTAGGGTCCACAAAGAGTCTTTTGGCAAGTGAGAAAAGTCAATCAACGGTTCACTCTGAAGTACACAAAATAATATAGTTGAGGGAAGCAAGACAGAATGACGAATATAGCGAATAAACAACAATTACCATCGCATTTCCTGGACTGATGTGGTTTCCGTAGCATACAGGAACTACTTCGGAAGTATTTACAAGGGGGTAATAAACGGGAACATCTACGACCGGAATGAAATAATGATGAGGTCCAAATAGGTCTTTAAAAAGGCCATAGTGGTCTGCTGCAAGATATCTACGATGTGAAGCCTCACAATCCTCGTCTGGATCATCGATTTCATCAATTGATACCTTGAGTTGTCGATGGCGAGCCAAAAGCTCAAGCTCAGACTTTCGACCGGCTTTGTTAATTCTTTTTGGAATGTCAGCCTTGAATCCGATATTAACAGGATCAATGCAAGTGGTTGCTTTTCCTTCCATAGATAGACCTAGAATTGAAGATAAACCAAGCCAATTTACATTTGATACGGTCAGAGTACGACTTTTGCCCATCAACCGGCACTTGTCGCCTAGGGAACGGATAAGAACCGGGTTCAATGTTGCGAGGTTTGTAGCTCATTCTATGCCAATAATATCGCTTAAGCAGTTTTGCTTGGTCGAAACTCTGTTGTAGAACACGGAACATACATCTCCCCATCATTCTTCAAGACTACCTCGACTCAATGCGAACATGTAGCCACCGCAATCCGTAATGATCGGGTCAACAGCTATGTCTTAAAACTAATGGGTGTGTTCGGACTATTTAAATGGAATTGGGACTTTTATGTGAATAACTGGTGGAAGATAAAAGGTTCGCTCTTCTCGCACAGTAGCCCATTACGATGAGTACGTAGAAGTATTTACGCATGTAGTCCCCTGCCTGATTTATAAGTCAAAATGAAGCTTAATAGGAAAGCTAGGATACTCTTATCTCTTTGCTTCACCTTATATTTTATTATTTGTAGCTAATCAGCAATCCCACTTAAAAGTGATGATTTAGTTCTTATGTGTTCTTCAATGACACTGAAGGCTAATGATACCGAGAAGGAACAGGTTGCCCATATAGCGCCTCGGCGGCTTATATGTCACACGTGAACTATGGTCCCGCTTATACTAGATGACTTAGCGCCCAATTATTACTTCGCAAATCTTTCGCTTTTTTATAAAATGCCATTTTATGTAACAGGTGCTTGCCAAAGTTTCTGTACATTTTATATGTTACTGTCCCTTGACTGGTAACGGATTTACTGTAACCTCATAAATAGTAGTGATGGCTACCTTCTTTACCTCAAAAGGCTGTGTATGTAGGGCTATCAGACGGATCTAAGCTATCTAAGTTCTGAATGAGGTGATCGTTGCATTAAGTGGCTGTAAAATGCACTACGTCAGGACCTCTGCCGAGCGCTAACATCAATGTGACGTCGTTGAACAGACACCACCATGGCACCAACGATCTTACTGACGCGTTCCATAAACCTAACAGCTATATGGTCAAACATGCCTAGAAGCTGTGGCTAGGCACATACGAAACTTAGATTTAAAGTCTAGAAGGAAAACGTTAGCACATGTAGGTACAGCGTACAATGGTGTTTGCCACCGTATAAATGGGATATGAGGCTTTTCTTACCCCTCTGGTCTATGAAAGATTTTAGCAAATGCCACTATTTCTATTCATGTTTTATGGTATATTTGCATTTTGGTTGGAAATGCGAAAACGAGCTGAAGATTGCTTTGGCAGCAACATAAGTAGAAATATAAGCTTGAAAATCACGAGCGTATGCATCCATTGATCGTCGCGGTAACACTGCAAAGATCTGCCAAAAATACGCGGAACACCGATGCCGTTATAGTGATGGAGAAGTCCCAAACAAGTTAGGTTATATTAGGTAGACTTAACGATCCCTCCTGCAACTAAATACTGACAAACAACGTGAAATGAGCTGATAGAGAGGAGTTATAGGCATTGGTGCACGAAAATACGTGGCCTTTATAACTGCAATCATCTTGGGGAAAAGGTCAATCGATGTCAAGCTAACGCCCTAAAAGTTGTGCTGCACCGACCAACTGGACACAAGTTTGTTGGTGTTAGGAGAGGTGGAAAAGCGTTCCTATGAACTGCGGACGTAGTTGAAGCAAAGGTCAAACAATAATTTTACGTTTAAAATGCAAAAAATGGAGGACAGGAGAAAGTGATGCTCAGTAGTGAGCAAAAATAGGAACAGAGAAGGGAGCAGTTAGTGCACATTGAATCGTGACATTGCTTTTCTGCTAACTTTGAAATGGGAAAGTAGGCAGCGAAGAATAAACAAAACACAAATCAAAACAACGAATACAGTTTAAAATACTGCCTTTGGAGGGGAGGAAGCTAAGCCATTCGAGCACGAATCCGATTTATGAGGAGCATGAAGAGACGTCTGTGGGGTGACGTCGGTATATCTTTTCTCATTATTCTTTTCTGCACAAGATACCAGATAGATATAGTTACTTGGGTCTGGCGTGAAAGGTCGGCTCCTATTGTTACGTCTCAGACAAGTCTTGTACATGGCACGAACTTCACTTCTTAATCTTCCTTCCTGATTGAGGCTCTAGTACAAGCTTCTCCCATTACCGATGTTCTCATTTCCTCTGCAGAGCGTGGTTTAATAGTCGGTGGACCGATCTGGACCTTGTTACAAACCGTCGGGATAGTCTGCCCCTGAGTCCAAAATGAATTTGTATGTGTGGACTTCCCTTTTGTCCCGCACTCGCAAAATAGTAAGAGACTGAGAACAAAGCAGAAAATACAAGGGCAACTGTGACTTAATTTGTTTTGAAGGACCTCTTGGATGCGCACGCCTCTGCCTGATGGGGATTAGCCCTATGCCAGGAGTCCACGGATGAAACCGGCTGTTGACCTCCGTTTGGCAGCTGCCACATCAATGGGGCGACTTAGCTTGCTTGTTCTCATATGAACCAGTTGTCCTGTCAAGGTAGGTACACGCCGCTATTTATACAGAATCTTGGAGAGGACAGCAGTCTTTAAAGGCTCCTTTCAGCTAGGGACTGGAGAAAACCCGCGAACTCCAAGTCGAATTTTTCAGATTTCTAAAACGCTGGAAAAGTCTGCGGACAAAAACCTGGTTCGATAGGGATGCCAGTTTGACGAGAACCTCGGAGCATTCTTCTATATCTGAGGTGAGGGTGATTCCTGCTTCCATTGTCTCTGTGACTATCATTAAGACGATGATCCGATATTTCGCCGCGGATGGGTCCTTGCGTTCTCTACCCGCGGGACTCGTGTTCAAATTGACCAACTGCCTCTCCAATATAAAGGTAACTTAAACACATTATTCCATACATTACATTTAAAAATAAGACATCTGAATGTAGCACCCTGACATTTTCCGCTGGGCTGAAGTAGACAGTATTTGCGGCTTAATGCATATTTATCAAGGGAGAGAAGAAGGGAGTAAGCCTGGGTTTGGCTCGAGGACCGGTCCACGCGTACAAGGGCCAGATGAGTACCAAAGTAACCACCAGACAACAGGTGATCACATAAGCTAATTATTATATCACCTCTCTTTTCCTCTGAACAACGTCATCGACTCTCCACTTGGTACAATTCCCGCGCCAGCCACCACAACCCATCCAGGACTGCTGCTAGAAAGCACCTACAATACGGCTGCACCAGTCAATAGCTACCATGAGACTGAGGAACGGTACTTGGTCTCCTCAACAGCTTCAACAGGACCTGAAGTTACGTTCGGTCTGACAGCCGGATTCGGGGCCGCATACATCTGTTGACCGTCAATTACTCCGAGAATTAGATGCTGGAACTTCAACCTAAAACATATTCTTAACAAGGAAGACGGGATCAGACACAGTTCAGTATACAAGGAGATCCGTCATGTTATTTCCGACACCTATACACGAATGTTGCAGATGAAATTCCGACACCAAACTTGTGCAGACCGTTTTACGGCGGAGTAGATTCAGCTACTATCAGGTAGTCTGCGGAACACGGAGATAGACAAACTTCTCAACCCTTGTTCTGGGTATAATTCAGAGATTCTCCCGCCACCGATGCGAATGCGCCTCATCCACAACTAGGTGTATGCCACAATTGGTAAGAAGTCGTTAAAACAGTGAAGTTTGCTATCCGCTGCCACCGTCGGTTTGGCTTATTAATCCTTAATATGCCTAGTAAAGCTTCTCAGAGGGGATCTTCCTCGAAAACATTTCAGAGGACAAGTTCAGAGCATACTTCACTTTAATCACAAGGTTATGATCGAATTAAATTCTGCATAGTTCTTCCTATCCTCCACTACGTGTGTGCTTACGGGGAAAGATTAGTGCACCTCGTTCTTCATCTTCACTACTATGTTATGTCAAATAAGGTTTTCCCTTCAACACAAATTATCTGACTTATCTTCTACGAATGCACACAAAATCCGCGTTTTGATACAGCTGTAGTCATCATCAGCACCGCTCTACTCATATGCTCAAAATCGTGAGGGTTCGTTCGCTATCTCTTTTGATACTGCGTACAAAGTTCCCCGGCAAGAAACTGCTTTTTCTACTTAGTGACAGCTCGGACCAATGTTTGACAGCATTAATGAATAGCGGGTTCGTAGGGGACTTTTGCGTTGCACTGGCGCCAAGAACTGTACTAGCAAGAACATTGACAAACGGTAAATCTTACTATTTGAATTCAATAGTCAATGTCCACAAAGCGGTTCTTACAGTTCTTCAAACGTTTTCTGAATGTGAGTACATTGCATTTTATTGCGCAACCATTATTACTCACACTATTTTACCTAGCGAATGGCAAAAATTAGCCGATTTTGTGAAATACTTTTCAGAGTGACCTCCTGATGTCTGGCGTTGGCTTTAAGATTCGTCTGGTCGTGTTGAATATGAGTTGGTCTTCTGGTCATGTTCAAGTCGAATCCTTTTGTCCTCTCTGAAATATATGTAATAGGCTCCAGATAATGCCTTCACTCGGTAGGAAATCCAGGGACGATGCCCTTTGCATGGTAGTACTAGGCGAAGCAAAGCACAGAAAGAAACACTCATTAAGGATAGAGGATGTCAGCGAGGATACTAGAGTTAAGGTTTCTGCGTTAGTCTGTGAGAAGTCTGGTTGCTCCTGAGTGTCCTTTTATTTACGGATGGAAAGTTGAAGCAACTGTTATGATGGTTTGTTTATGTGACTACCTGAGGTTCGGCGGTCACTGTAGGGTTTGTCTGTCCCTTGTACTCGAGGGCTGGCCTTCGAGCCCTGATTAGGCTTATTTGCTCTGCCCTATTCGGAATACATGTATCCAGCTTCACTTACTGTTGCTTCTATCTGCTGAGAAGTCTCTGGACGGTACAACACCTACGTACCTAGAAATGGTTAATTGTCAGTCTTGAGTTGATTCAACATAAAATTGAAAAAA